TTACCAGGTCGACCTTGAGTTCCTCGTTGGTGAAAACGGGATCCAACATATCCGGTTTGTTTCCTCTCCTCACACGCGTTGGAGAAGTGACATGGTGGTAACTAAGTAACCCGGCAAGTAGGCCTTGCAATTTCATTTTGAATGGCTTAAAGTGGCCGAGGTTTCCAGGCCGTGAGGCTTGAATTCCCCTATCATGCAAACGTGACTGCAAGAACGTAGCAGTAGGCTTTTCACAGTGAAGACAAGAGCTTTGTCCACATCTGCAGTGGGCACTAGTGGGCGGTATACAATGTCAAGCAAGCACAAACCACCCTATCTCAGGAATAGGCAGTAGCATAGGGCACCATAAGTATGGTCCATTTGCTATACCGCGCTCAGTTAATTTTGCTTTCGCTACTCACACGCCTTATCCACACGGCAATTATTAACTTGTTACCAATTAACCTTATACATAACAAGCCGGTACCTATTTCCATGATCCTACATCCGATGGTTTCGTCGACGACCACAGATGTCGCCCTGTGACGCTTCTTCTGCCCCCATCCTCTTTTCGTCTGGCATGCTTCGATGGGCGTACACTAATGCAGATCGGACACCATGGAATTCCTCGACGTAGATGTTCTCTGTTTTTCCAAAACCAGATTGTAGCATCCCACCGACCTCGGAGCCATTTTCACCTATCTTTGTCTGGTGACACAGAAGCAAATAGGGCCGGCTTGGTTGGCGTTGGTTTAGCCCTAGATAGCAAATCCAAGGCCGCTCTGCTAAACTGGTTCCCGATCAATAGTTGACTGAGTGCCGTTCTGCTCCGGGGTTCACGATGAGACAACCAGAACAAGGCGTTAGTGTGAGCACGGAAGTGGAAGTTGACCGAAGAGATTCCACACATACACGCTCCTTAATTTAGCGACCAAGTGTCATACCAAGCAAAATATCTTAGGTGTAACATTTTCTTCTTAACTTGGGTTGGTGTTAGCGAGAACAGGTATGCCAGCCAGACAAACAGCGCTTGAAAATAGATCGCTCTCCAGCGAGTGTGTTTGTATGTTATCTTGGAACTTCCAGCCAACCACATGGTACGGGAGAATCGATTGGTTTCGATCAAGTCTGTGGTAAACGTGAGGACTGGACCGTTTTTTCCAGACAGTTGGTTGTAATTTCAGTTGTGCGAGTGAACGTTTTCAAGCAGTGTCACTTCTGTCTTTTTATTTCTCAGTGAGTTATAAGACCAGCCACTGCCTTGTGTACGTCTAGTAAACATGATGTCCCGATTAGGCTTACTGAATGGAAGTCTCCTTATGATCACACATTATTGGCTTATTCTTGGGATAACCCATTTTACATCAATTTGCCCAGTTTGTCGCTGTTTCGGAACAATACAGCTAGAAGTTTTGGTGAATTAAATTCTCCAGTTGTGGACACATAAATCACCTTGAAATCCAAACCTCGTATTCCTTTTGGCGCCGGCTACGGCTGCGGAACACAAAGAGAAGTTTAACTGCAGAAACTTATCGTCCACGAAACTCCAATTCGGAGACTGTCTGCAAGTTAAAATACATTTAGAAAGTTCCGCTGAACCAGTCGCACAGTCGCAGATTCAACACCTCCCTGTGCAGGTTTACAAGGAAGGCGCCCGCAATGAACACGCTAATTACCGAGCAATATTATTGAAACCAACTCATCCAAGTTTTTTGTGTCTATTCTGCTTTTTATCTCTTCGGCTGCTCCATAGACTTTGTTGTGCTAAGAACAGGATGCGTTTCCTTCGAGGGGAGGATACATCAACCACGTCTCCACTGGAGAACAACAACAGTGATATTCATGAGAATTCGAACCGCTTATGTTTTAATTAGAAGATCTACGCAACAGAAGTGTTAACTACGAGAAGGTATTTCCTGCATGAACGTACGCCTAATTAGGCTTGTGAAGCTCCTACTGAAATCGAGTGTCTGGAGTGCGATGTAGAAGATGTCCGCAGTCTACTCGCCAGGTTTGACGGCATGAGACCTACATCCGCCAATACTGAAGTCTCTATCGGCCATCACCGTGCTCGTTGTGACTGATAAATTCAACAGATCGGTGTGTATATGTGTGTTACCGAGCGCCTGGAAATACTGGGTAGTGAAGCCAATCCCGAAGGGCGGTGACACGACTAAGTTGGACAATCACCGGCCGATTCGTCTTGCAAAATGCTGGAAAATTTTGGGAAATAGTGTCTAATTCAGCTGTTAAAGTCGAAAGACCTTTAAATTCCCGCACAGCATGGTTTCATGAAGTGCCACTCCTGCATCACAAAACTGCTGTTGAACCATGAACAATGAGTTATAACGGGTAAAATGCAGGTGCTTGACATGTCCGGTAAGGTGGTTAGAGTGAGAAAAGATAGATCAAGTTATAACGGAATGGTCGGTTCGGGTGATTACAGATTTAACTGCACTGTCGTATAAGGGGAGTTCGCAATTAGTATGTGCGTACACAAAGCAATAAGGGGAGTGGTTATAGAGCACGTAATAAGTGAGAAACAAATAAAAATTGCATGGACAACGCTTACTCCTGTGCTCCTATCTCGGGTCGACGAAATACAGTAATATAGTTTCTACAGCAATAGTGTTTATCGAATTGTGTGTAAGGGGTTTGGAGAGACTCATTCCCCAGTATGGTTATGACACTGTCCACTGTCTGTTGTGTATTAGTGCCAGCACCTAGTGTAAATGTGACAGAGTATGGTCAAGTCGTTTTTGAAAAAGGATAGGGTTGGAGCATTGATTACATTTTCCGGGAGGGCGTTCCAAGGCTATGACCCTCGAAGGGAGAAAAAGTTTCGCCGACATTCCAGTCAGCTGTACTGCGTGACCAGCTTAAACGGATGATCTCTTAGCGGGGTGTTTTGACTGAGTATCAGAAGTGAATGGGATTGGTGGTTGGGGTTTCTCAGGATCTGGTACACCATTATGAGATCGCCCCTTAGACTCCCATACAGATGGTTGCAGGCTTTGAACCGGGGGAAAGCAGTAGTTGTTATCTACGTTGCTTTCGCTAACGCTTTCTATAAAGTGGATCATGAGGTTCTGCTCCACAAGCTGTGGATATGTGGTGTTGGTAGCGCACTACACCAGTGGATCACTTACTTCCTCATTGGAAGAAAATGGCGGGTACAGACAGATGACCAATTAACGGAATTGTACGCGTGCACTAGAGGCGAACCCCAAGACACAATCCTGGGTCCATTTTGATCCTGCTCCACATCAAGAAGTAACTCAGCTTCTTCGGTCGCTCTACACATTGCTTGTAGGGTACCTGAAGATTTGGAGTGTTATTGATTCCCCGATGACTGTGATGTCTTTCAGCAAGACCTCGACTGCCTGTCCCTGTTGTCTACAGAAGTTGATCTGCCAGTCAGCGCGTTCAAGTGGTCATTTATGAGTCTGAGGATGGATGGTAGTGAACGTATGTACAACATAGCCGGCAAACCGCGGCATCCTACTATTTCTGTAAAGGATATATGTGTACTCTAACGCTTTTATCTTTAGTCCGTTGGCGACAAAAACAAACTGTAAGGAAACGGACTGCGCATGACTTGTACACAGACACAGCTTCTGCACTTGTTCTGAAGTGATTACCCCTCGGCTGTGACATGAGATGATATGATAAGATCGGAGCTTGAGTACGGCTCACCTACCTATTGTCCGATCACAATAGCTGCGGTACATAGACTGGAACGGGTCCAGCATGTAGCTGCCCGGCTAATCCCCAGTTTACAGGGTATGTCGTACGAGGACCCATGTAAGTGACTGGGGCTATGTACCCTGTCATATCGTTGGCTTCGAGTTGTTCTCATTATGACACACCGGATAGTGCACCTGGGCCACTTCCCTATGATGAGAACGCTGCTGTACGTTCGAGCATCAAACAGCACAAGTGGACATAGGTACAAACTAATGGTACCGGATTTAAAGCGCATCGCTCACCCTCTATGAATCAAGCGTCGAGTAGTGAAATATTGGAACAAGCTGATTGAGACAGTAGTGAAGGCTAAATCTGTCGAAATTCATGAGATTCCTCGATGCTTACTTTGAAGATTACACTTATAGGGAGCGTATCGCACCCGGATAAGATGTAGCGTTGCTGTAATATGCTACCACCGCGCAGGATGAGCGACGGGATTCCGTGCAGGTGCTCGATCCATCTACGATGGAGTAACACAGATGTATACCTTTTTGCTCTCTTATTTCAGTATTTAGTATTCAGTATCGGTGGCCACGTGATGCATATTCCCAGTGATTAGCGGTCTTGATTGCCATGACTCGCGATAGAACTTACTGCCACCAATGTTATTCTGCCTGTTCATCTTCATCTGGAACTTTGATTTAAACAAAAGCAGCCAAAGGACAAACAGCATGTCTGAAAAACAATGAAAAGAACCGCTACCATTAGGCTTTTGTCTACCTCCTGCTAGCACGGCCCGGTGTTACAAAGTCCAGTTAAACATAAGCCCCAACGGTAGACCGACATGGTGTAAAAAATCCGTCAACAAAAATTCCGAAGGATCAACATTCAAACATACATTGATGTCCGATATGCCGTGAGAAGGAATCACGTGGCCTCACCACCGTATGATGAGCACGTGATTAAGCAGATGCCTCGGCACCGCCGTTGCCTGGACGTGAAATGCCCAAATGACAAGATGGGGATGAATAATTCTGCCCCTACAACTCCATTTCCAGTGGATGTCCCACATGATTGAGTCAGCAGGTGTGAAAAACAGCTTTACGCTCTAAGCGGGACAAAAATTAGTTGCTGGCCAGCTGGAGCTAGTGTTTGTATTCTTGTAGGTGCGTGTGCCTTTTGTACCACCCTACTTGCTCCTTTCTTCTCCCGGCATCACGTATTCTAAACTAAATCATGGCAAAAAGACACCCTAGCAATAGCACTGATCACAACTTTATGTGTCCTGTGAACATTGTCACCGAATCATCATACGCCCACTTTTGTTGTCATAGGTGAAAGGGAACTGGATTGGGAGACAAGTTCAGAGCACTTGGAATACCTGGAGCAGAGAATAGACCAGTGGCTCGCAAAGTCAGAGACGTTGACCATCAGTCGATCGGCTCGGTCTGCCCTTGTGGAACCATTGAGAAGATTCAGACCACAGGTAACACAACATTCATAGAATCGGCTTCCTTTTAGCATTCACATACATCTAATACCAAGAAAAAAGGTGGATGAGATAATTTGCCTATATAGTCCAACTTGCTATGGCGATCACCTGTCTAGGGTGACCAGCCAAAGACATCCCCAAGGTTTTCTCTTATGAGTAATGTCCGTATGCATGAACCTGCCCAAGGCGACCACTTTTGTTGAGCCGTTGAGTGGTCACCCTAGACAGGTTTGACTGTATAATCATCTATTACCGAAAATGTGTCAAGTAACCTACTTATTCTGCTATTTGAGAGAGCTAACAACAATGGGCCCTCTAATTGAACCCGATCAGACAGTACAACAAGGGCGTGACGACAATGTTAGATGGTATAGTGCGTTCGGGTAACAAAGGTGCACAAAGATAAACTAAAAGAAGGGAGCCATAGGTAACGACACCACTGATCCGACCAGACAGTTAAGCCAAATTAATTTCTATTGAAAACCAGGGGAGAAATCACACGTAGAATAGAATTGAGTAACTAAATGACAAGCAAAAATAGTAACAAATGTGCAAAACAATTAATCAGCAAACTAGCCAACGAAATGGAAAATTTAGTGTGTTGATGTCCTAGTTGTGATAGTTGTGTCACACCAGTGAGCGTATGGACCAAGCGAGCGAGCCAGAAAGCCAATGGGTGGCGGGCATAACGGATTTGATTACTGAACTCGGATTGGCCGATATTCGTGTAAGTGATTTACCGCTTTTTCACTGAAGCAAAGGAGAAAGCTCATTGACTCAGAAAGGTCGTTAGCTGTGGACTTGAAGGTGCAACTTATATTAAGGAGTTTTGCTTGTAGAAATTGATGTAATTTTCGCTTACTTGACTTTGCTGAATAAACGCTTGTCCGTGAAAGACTGTGTTTTGCAACATGGTGCTAAGGAAGACAAAGGCGAACCCCACCGGAGGTGCTCGGATGCAGTATAGATCACCAGCGTCTACTCAAATGTCTGCCCCATTGAACATGGTTGAATGGAAATTGGCGAGTGATTGGCGTCTATGGAAGCTCAAATAGATGGATTTCTGCACCTTAGTACGGTTGAACGATCAACCGATGTTGTATCGCCAAACCATGTTTCGACACGCATCCGGGGATGAGGCGCGCCGAGTGGTAGAGACATTGCAGTACAACAAAAACGAGAATCCCAATAATTTGGAGATGGTCATTGAAAAGTTCAGTGAATTTTACGAAAGCCAAACCAATGAGACCTACCAACGTTCTCTTTTCTTTTCGAGCCATAGAGGTCCAGACGAATCCGTCGACGCCTCCAGGACTGGGCTGAAGACCTTGGCCCGATCCTGCAATTTTTCTAAATACATAAGCGACAACTTTATACGCAATCGGATCGTACTAGTAATCGATGATGCAAGTACAACTAAACGGCTTTTGTGACAACGCAACTAGTCACTCCAGCAGTGTATCTATATCAGCAACAGTGTGTCCTCTATCATCTATCAGCACCAGCAAATGAAACTTGCAACTAACGCGTAATTGTGTACCGTTTCCGGAGGCGAAGCAGTGAAAGCTACTACGTGAAGACAGGAAGTCTGCTAATTTAGCGCCGCGCGACAGCGTGAGCCCCATGGGGTACAGTGCCCGGCGTGGTGGTCGGAAACGACAACGCCAAATTGTGAAAACAGGTCCACCACTTTGCCTGCACTGCTGCTGAGCAAACAATGATGAGTGACGGTCCCCTAACTCGTGACAAGACTTGCCCGCAGATGCAGGACAATTCAATATGGCGCAAGATGTGCTCGGAGAGTGCCGCCAGAAATATATGTGCCATCGAAATCAATATGATCAAAAGCTGAAGAGCCGCACAATTCCGTAGTTAGAACACGGGATGCTACTGCCCAGCATACTACGAAGGAAGCACTGCCCGGAGTGTGCACTCGAAGCTGCTCAGGATTGCCTACGCATGGGACTGGTTCCAGACTTTCATCCGGTAGGGCTTCAGGCTACATATGGAAAGGCGTCTAACCCTAGAGAAGGATCCTCAACCTCGACTCGATAGTCTCTGTGATAGTGGAGCACTGACACAGCTAGACAGCCGGATTCTCTCGCATTAGATTTGTTGTAGTCTCCCGTTTTTTTTGTTTGTTAATTCATTGATCGTTTTTCGCGTGATGCTTTGTCCGGGAGGAACGGATAGCTAGTGATCACCAAGCGCTTGCGTTTAGCCCGAGGTTTTGGGAAAATATTTGAGGGATGCACTCTCACTTGTCCCTGTGGATCATTTACTTCTACTGACAGCTTACGGTTAGGAGAGTTTCAGTTGATGTTGCGTGACAGGTCTTCGTGAAGTGAGCAGATTAATGAGGGGATGTGGATTGCTCAAAGTCGAGAGGCCAAACCGGGACTAAGTTAATCAGGTCGCAGTCGTTAAGAAGAAGACTGCAAAGTTGCACGTGTGCACGACCCGAAATCCGTTAAAATAAGGTCTGCATAGAGAGTATGAGGCGTTATCCACCAGCGTTTAATCAAGGCTAAGTTGTTCACGAAGGTATACCTCTCTTCTGCATTCCGGCTCTTTGTTCTGGATGAAGAATCCCGTTTTCTTAATACCTTTGCAACACTGTTCGGGCGTCACCGTTGGCTGCTTTTGCCGTTCGCGTTGAAGTTGGGTGAAATTTGTTAGAAGCGACTGATGCAATCGGTAGAAGATTTAGATGGTGTAACATGTATGGCAGACGAAGTTGTTGATCAGAGGTTTCGACAGATGAAGAGTAACTGCTAATCTCCACCGTTTCTTACAGATTCTGTGCAACAGCAACTCAAGCTTAATGTGAGTATATTACTCCTCCCCACCGCACTGGATGATTTTCACACGGCAATGGCGTTATTAAGTCAAGTACAAGTTATGTGGTAAGCTGTACGCCGTCGTAATAGGCGCTTCGCTTGCACTGCGCAGACAGCCATCAGTCGCACGCGGGCTGAGTTTTACACGAAGACGCTCACCCTACGCGGGTCCAGCCAGGATAAATATTAAACAATTTGTGTGTTGCGCAACCTAATGACGTGAAGTGCATCCATCCGCTGAATCTGTATGGTGAATTCCCTGAGTCGTTCCGTTTTGCGCCCTAAACTCGCTGATATACTGAACGGCCGCATCAGGAAGTTAACTCACAAAGCAGTTAAAATGGAGTTGAGGGAAAGAAAAGAAAACCGCGTTCAAAACTACTAAACACCACATCAGCAACGCGCTTGTGCTTGAGTATTACGACTCAGCACAGCATTTGTAAGTACAGTGTGATAGTAGCTAATACGGAATGGGTGCTGTTCTCTTACAGTGTGGAAAACCTTTGGATTTCCACAGCTGAGCAAACACCATGACCGAGCAGTGCCATGCGCTCACGGAGCGTTTCACCGAGTATACTTTCTATAGAAAGACAACTATGGATACCGACCACAAAACGCTTGTTTCAACAGCCAGGAAACGGTTGCATCTAGTTTCATCGTCCTGTTTCAGGTACCTATGGCCTTATCCGGCTTCAAAAATACGAGGAGGTATTGGACAGCCTTGGTGTACAAATGTTCCTCGCGAAATTCGCTGTTTCAAGTGCTCAGAACCCGGTCACGAGCATAATCCAGAAGAGGTCGAAAGCAGTAACCTAGTTACACACCTAGCACTGACGAAAAGATCGTCCTGAATGAAATTTAACGGTGACACACAGAGAAAGATGCGGCGTTTGCGCTTTGTCGAGGACGTTACTGTAACATTGTTCGCCAGGAAAGGGAAAGTAGCAGCTGCCGAAGGAATAACACCTTAAATTTAATTTCTCGGGTATGATATTCAGACATGTTGGTCTCCTGTTCAAGAGAATCCGTATACTGATTCTTTTATCGCTTCGAAGAGAAATGCTGAAATACGTTTATCGCACTTACCTGGGTGCCGACTTTACCATTAACGGAGCAAGAGACTTGACATTTTGGCCAAGAATGGCAGGTCAAATAATAGAGCATCTATCGAATTGGGAAGGATGCGTTTACACGAAAGCTGGCAGACGAAGGAATCAATTATGTTGCACGATATCCCTGATCGACAGTGGCAGAACTTGGCAGTGGATTTAGTAAGTGATAACGGGAAGGATTACTTATGGTGGATTATTATAGTGATCATTTCAACATCGATTTACTCGCCAGTACTACCAAATAGGCAGTAAGCTACAAAGCTCGACGTTCGTTTGCTGGCCTTCCTATACCGGACAGAGGCTTGTGTCTGCGACAATAGGCTCCTGCTTACCAGCGTTGCTGTGTTTTGTTTTGGCTTCCACGCTTCCCAACCAAGTGGGAATTGGTGCACTAGCTAACCAGCCAATATCACATTCAATAGAATGGAAAGGCAGAGTCGGCAGCGAAGCAGGCCAAGCTACGATTATCAAGGGCTAGATTAACTGCGAGGACCCGCGTACATCATGCTACTGGAGAATCGCAACACACCTTCAACGGAAACTTGGTTTTAAACCCAGTTGAGGCCTATACAGCCGAAGGACTAGACTTGATTACCGACATTTGGAACACATTTGCGCTCAGTTTTCGCAAAGCTTGAGCATTCAGACCCACGGAGAGACCAAGATGTCCACCCAGAACGGTATACGACCGCGGAGAAAAGGATGCATGGCCTGTGCTAAACAGCAACAGAGGAAAGTGTGGGTTCAGACCAGCACCCAGATGGTTCAGTAGCCGGTGGGAAGAAAGGTGTGGCTGACTGGTGACGGTCAGTACAAGGTCATACAAAATAGAGATTGGAAGGAACAGTTTGGGAAGAAACGTGGTGCATTTGAGGCGACACTGAGCGGACAATGCAGATTGGGAGTGGAGCATCTGATGGCATCTGGCAAGGAGATCACGACCACAGGTACAGCGAAGATAAGGCGGAGTGGATAGAAATATTGGCCCCCCACCCACAGAAACAGGGGAGGCTGGCAAGGGCGCGCAAAGAACACGAGGAAC